GTGAGTCTGCCGCCACTGTGCGGTCTCGGCCTGGGGGAGTGCTCGAGTCGGGTTGGGGCTTGGGGCGGGGGTTGGGGGAGGGGTACTGACCGAGTGGCCATGGCGCCGGGCACTGTGGGGGAGGCTCGTGGGCATTTGTAGACCGAGGGGAGCTGAGACTAAGCCGGCCAGGGGGCGCGGCCTGGAGAAGTGGGGCTAGAGAAGGTGAGCGGGTGGGCAGGGTCACGTGGCGGGTAAGGGGTTGGGGGGGGCCAGGTATCAAGGGCTGGGCCAGAAGGTGGCAGGAGGAGTGTGCCCAGGTTGTAGGGCAGGGCGGGCGGTGGGTTCATTCTGTAGCTCCGTGTCGCCCACTCCAGATTTGGGGCCGGCCACACGCTGACCCTGCGGGTGCCCGCGGCGCGGCCCGGGCCAGCTGTGGCCTTCCTGACTGAGACGTTCCCCGGAGCTGAGCTCCGAGAGGCGCACGGCAGCCGCCTGTGCTTCCAGCTGCCGCCGGGAGGGCCCTGCTCCCTGGCTCGAGTCTTTGGAGAGCTGGCAGCCCGCGGCAGGGAGCACGGTGTGGAGGAGTTCTCAGTGAGCCAGACCACCCTGGAGGAGGTGACCCCTGCTCCCCAGCGGGCTGTGGGTGGGGGTGAGATTGGAGACTGACCCTCAAACCAAACTCCCCTCATTCTTCTTCGTGGCTTCTCCTCCGGCTCTAGGTGTTCCTGTACTTCTCCAAGGACCAGGGAGAAGAGGAGGGGGAGAACAAGGAGGAGGCAGTAGTGGGGGCAGGCCCTGCACCAGGCCTCCAGCACCCCAAACTCATCACCCAGGTCCTGGACAGCCCCAGTACGACTGAGACTGTGCTCTGAGCCTCACTCCCCTTTGCACCAAGGACCTGGAGCGGGAAGCGGGAACTCGGTTCCCTGGGCTGCCAGAGACAGAAGTCCCGGGAGAAATAAAGAGCCTTGGTGGTGAAAGAGCTCCCGTGTCACACGCCAGCTGCACGCATGTCCACAGGTGCATCTGAGCTTGTGTCTGAAGTAGACCCCAGGCCCCCCGGTGTGTACACCTGCAGGTTTGTGGCCATGGACATAATTCATGGCGTGCAGGTGAAATCATGGTCAAGTCTACTGAGAGCCTGTGGTGCATTGGGGAGTGGGTGTGGCTCACATGATGTGTGGACTTCCTAAAAGCCTGGTCACGGACCCCAGGGCCCTGAGTGCCCACGTCTTCAGTCTGGTCCATAAGATAAACTTTAGGTGCCTAAAGTGGGCAGGTCAAGGGTTAGGACCGTCCTGGGTAGATCCCTTAGTAGGTCCCAGAAGACAGTCTGGAGCTCAAGCCTTCAGACCAGGCCAGAAGTCCACCCACCTGCCAGCTACTCCTCACCTGTGATCCTGACACGGGCAGTGAGGGGTGGGCAGGGATACAAATGGACCCAGCCCTGGGAGCCAAGATGGGCACTAGGGCTGTGGCCTGAATGCCCCGAGCCTCACAGATCTGCATTCCCACCTGAAGTCAGTGGGAGTTGAGGAGGGTAAAGGGCTTGGGGTTTGGGATTCCAGAAAGCGAGGGAAGAAAGAATTGAGGAGGCTAGAGGGGTCATGCTGGGGCTTGGAGAAAGGTGGTTGTGGGTGGGCAGGAGGGAGCAGGGATCTATCTGTAAATCGATGCCTCAGGGACTGGAGGAGGCCCCCTGGTGGGCTCTGGGGAGTCACCCACACTGCCACGCTGCCGTGCGGGAGCGGGTCTGGAGGCCCCTCCCCCGTCCCCCCCCAATGGTGGCCGTGGGAACTGAGCAGAGCCCCTGGGGCGCCAGGCTGGAGGCAGGATGCCCGGGAGAGAATGGGGCACGGGGCAGGTGACTGTGCCCCGGCTCTGAGTGCGGAGCTGTAGGTCACTGCCAGGGGCGCCTGGCGGAGCCTGAGCGCGGCTCTGCCCTCGGTGTCCTCGTGCGCGGGTGCTCTCCGGCGGGCGTCTGGGTGTGTTCGATTGTGGGGGGGCCGGCTTCCGCTCGGGGTGCACATCGAATCAGCGCGAACACCAGAAAACGGTCCGCGCGGGGCGCGCCGTCGAATCAGCTCTTCACACCAGAAAACGGAAGTTGGGGGCGGGCCGGGGCGGGGCCCGAGACCCCACCTCAAGCCCACTCTGCGGAGCGGCAGCCTGAGTCCCGGAGCCGCGGGCGCTTCGGGAGGGCTTTTCCTGTGAGCCGAGCGCCTGCCCCCGAGGGCTGGGCCTGTCACGTGCTCCGGCCAGTGGGGAGGGGGTGGCCGAGGCGATGTGGGCTCCAGGCGGCCGGTGCCGGTGCCCGGAGCTGCTGCGCTGAGGCCCCGGGCCGCTGACCCCAGGCCGCCCCTGGATACTGCGCTCCCGCCCCACCATGTTCTCCAGGAAGAAGCGGGAGCTCATGAAAACCCCTTCCATCTCGAAAAAGAACCGGGCGGGAAGCCCCAGCCCGCAGCTCTCGGGGGTGAGTCGCTACCGCTACCGGAACCCGGCAGGGACCTTGTAATGACATAAGCGGTGGGGGCCAGGGGCAGGCCGCACCCAGAGGCTGGCATCGCCGCCATGCTGGGCTGGAGGCAGGGCTCCTGCGCTACCTACAGTCCCCTGAGGGCTGGACGGCAGATGTGGAGATCCGGAGGGGGCCCTGGCGTTCAGCTCACGGTGAGAGCCTTTCGGGGTGGCTACTAGCCTTTCGGGGTGGCTACTACCCTGCCCACCGGGTCCAGGCTGACTGCTAGGCCCAGGGGACGGGTGGGGAGGACGACAGGGTGGGGTGGGGTGGGGTGGGGTGGGCGGAGTTGGGTCTGGGACTCTGGGGAGAGCCGCAGGCTCACAGGGCAGGTGGATCGGGTCCTGGGGTTCATGTGGGTAAGGGCCTGGGGAGGGTCTCCAGGACTGTAGGGGCTACAGCGTTTGGGGCGACTGCGGGTTTCAGGGTTTAGCTAGAGGAATCAACAATAATATCTTTATCAAGAAGTACGTGCTGCACCCCGAAGGGCCTACGGGAGGGTGCCGGATCTTCCACCCAGCAGCAGGAAGTGGGGTGCCTCTGCCCTGTACAGGCCCCACCCTAAGTTGTGGTTTAGGCAGACTTGTTTGTGAAAGCTGGAGAGAAGAGGATGTTGGGTAACAGGTGTGGGAGGGGCTGGTATGAAATCTCAGCCCTGTGACCCCTGACCCTTGACCCATGGTGGGTCAGGCCCAAGATCTTCCAGAGCCTCAGTGCACCTCTGGGGACGGAGGCAGTGCCGGGGCGGCAGCCCTGACTCACCAGCCCCCCCGCCCTCCAGGAGCTGACCAAGAGAGACGGGGCCGATGCGGTGCCTCAGGGATCCAGCCTGGAGCCACCAGGTGCGGCCTCGAATGTCAAGGCCACAGGCACCCTGAAGCGGCCCACCAGCCTGAGCCGCCATGCCAGCGCGGCCGGCTTCCCGCTATCTGGTGCCGGTTCCTGGACACTAGGCCGCGGCCACCGCAGCCCACTGCCAGCGGCCAGCCCCGAGGTGCCCGTGGAGGGGCCCAGCCCTGACCTCATGGAGCTCTCCTCAGTGATCACGGACGTCACCCGCTTTGCTGAGAGCCTTGAAAAGCTCAGGGACTGTATTCTGCAAGATGGTGAGGCCTGGGGGAGGCACCCCGCGGAAGGGGGTTGCAAGGAGGGCCCCGGGGAACAAGCCTGGGCAGCCACGTCTCTGGGGGATGCTTGGTGGGAACAGGAGAGGGGCTTGAGGCAAAGGAGCTCTGAGCGCAGAGTAGAGATGCGCTCGAGGGCAAGGCTTGGCTGTCTGGCGTGGGGGTGTGTGCAGCTGAAGGCAGGACCTGAGGGTGGTGGAGAACGGGCAGGTGTGAGAGCAGAGGTGGGCGAGGTCGGCCTGGGCTGCGAGCAGGTGGTGGCGCAGGCCCGGGTCTGGAGCGGGGCTGATTGATGGGGTCGGGCAGACGGGCAAGCGAGCCCAGTGGCTGGGAGTGCGGATGCCCGTTCGTTTTCTCCTCTGCCCTGGCCCTGACAGGCGGCTTCCTGCCCGTTATTTTCATCTGCTTCCTGTTTGTCCCTGGTGGCCTGGAGGGCACCTCGGGGCCCGCAGGCTGCCTCCGCCCGCTGTTCCGGAACTGTAGTGTAGTGTGGCGGTGTGGAGCTGGCCAGGCCCTCTGACCGGCCCTCAGGTGTCGCTTTACACATGAAGAAACCGAGGCCTTGAGCGGGCGGCCCTGGGGGCATCGGAGTGGACGGAGTGGACGCAGCTCCGCCTGGGCCCTGGCGCTGGCGCTGGTGCTGAGCTCTGCAAGGGCGGCCAGGCCCTGCGGGGTGGGGTGGGCAGGGGTTATCTGGTCTCGGGCGGGTGCCTCACATTTCCTGGGGAAACTCTCTAATCTCAGTTCCTTTCCCATCCTGCTCCTGGGGCTTCCTTGGAGGCGAGGCCTGGGCGGGGCTGAGGCCAAGGGCCTTCTGCAGGAAGTGGGGCCAGAGCCAGGAAGGTGGGGGACCCTGGGGTGGAATACTTTGGTTGTGAGACCCAGCCTGGTCACCTCCCTCTGTAAGATGGAGCGACAGTGCCCACAGCAACTGTGACCACTGTGTCCCCTCATACTGCGATTGTTGTGGGCACAGTCAGCCCCACAGCGAGTCTGGGGACCCCCCGCAGGTCAGGCTCTGACTTGCAGCAGGGTTCACTGGGGTGCCGCCCTGTTAGCTGGGGCTACCCTGGCCTGCCTTGGGGTGTCCTCACCCTGTGCTTTGGCGCTGGACCTCAGTTTCCCTGTTGGCCAGCTGAGGCTGAGCCAGTCCTGAGGCGTGCCCAGGCAGCATGCTGTGCTGCTGAAGGGTCTTGCCTGCCCTCAGCTTCCCAGGTAGGGGGGCGGCGTGGATCCCAGTGGCAAAGACCTAGGCCCCCTGTGGGAGGAGGGAAGACCCTGGGAGGGCACCCCGGCTGGTCTCCCCAAGGCTGGCTGCCCTGGATTTTTTTTTTTAAAGATTTATTTATGTACACAGAACAGGGGTGCAGGCCAGAGGTGCAGGGGTGGTGAGAGGATTCACCAGAGGCAGAGTGGGGAGCATACAGGCAGATCAATGAAGTCCACTGCTGAGGGAGCAGCAGGTGAGACATGCCAGGCCATGTGGGTCACCTCCGGGGTGGGGATCGAATTGGCACCCAAGCCCCCGCAGCCAGCTTCACAGTGCTGCGCTTTAACCCGCTGCGCCACCAGGGAGGGCCCATCCCTGGATTCTTAGAGGCCCACTGCCCTGAGCTCCTTGGATTCAAGCAGTGAGAGTACTTGGGTACCCAGGGCAGGGAAGTGGGGGGAGCGCACCGGGTCCACCGGGCCGGTGACCCTGTTGGGGGTCTCCTGGGAGTGGCATTCAGGGGTCCATTTCAGGTTTTTTTTTTTTGTTTTTTTTTTTTTTAGTAGTGGGGAGCAGCGGGGGAGACAGGAGAGGTCTGCTGTACCCTGGGGGTCACTCCCTGGCCGGGGATCGAACTCGCACAGAGGGGGCTGCGGCCAGCTTCATAGTGTTGCGCTTTAACCTGTTGCGCCACCAGAGAGGCCCTAGTAGAGCGATTTAAAACCTCGAAGACTCACATCTGACCTCAACCCTGCCCGCTGTGACGCCTCCTGTGCCCCCACTGCCCTGAGACCGAGCCGGGAAGGGCCTTCTGCCTGCACAGCTGGTGTGGGGGGACGCTGCCTGGCCCCTGAGCTCGCTTCCACCCTGCCTCCGTGGCCCTCTCTGCAGAATGGGGGTGCTGCACAGCTTGTGCTGGGGGAGAGCGAGACACTGGAGGCCTGTGGCCAGCAGGCGGAGCAGGGAGACATCTGGACAGCTGTGTGGGGGCTGAGGGGTTGGGGCCCGAAAGGCCCAAGTGGGCTGCAGGGAGAGGGCCGCCGGGGGTTTGCTTTCCGCCGACGAGGAGAGAGTGGGCTCAGCAGAGGTGACTGCCGAGGCCCGGATCTGCCCTTGTGGGTCTGGTCAGCAGCCGAGAGGGCCGGTGCCCACCTCGCTACACAGTGAGCCTTGGGCAGCAGCCTCTCCCTCCTGTTTCGCCCCCTGGAGAGCAGTCTGAGGGGGGAGGGAGGTGCTCCCTGGGCTGCCCCCCACGTCTGCTCCGTCCACAGATCGGCTGGAGGCGCGGCGGCCGGTGGCCCACGAACACCTGGGCGAGGCCCTGCGAGTGCTGCGCCAGCTCACCTGCAAGTACCCGCCGCTCAACACCGTGGAGGTGCTCACTGCCGCCTGCAGCCTCATCGCCCAGGTCAAAGGTCAGCAGGCCGGGCTGGGCAGGCAGTGCCTGATGCGGCTTTCCGGGCTGGGACGTCTGAAGTGGACGCTGAAGGGCTCACAGGAGGTTGATGGTGCAGCTGCTGCAATGCTCCCCCGGCCCAGGGGCTCCCCGCAGTGGCTGCGGGGAGCAGCCCCCCGAATGCTTGTTTCTGCCCCCCAGCTTTCCACTATGAGTGCAACAAAGAGTCGGACAAGCAGGAGTTTTACAAAGCCTTGGAGGCTATTTCCTTCTCCTTCAGCTGCACGTGAGTGGGTGACCGTGGCGTGGGGGGGTGTGGGGGGGGCCCCGAGCCTCTTGATGCCAGCCGCCTGCCCTGCAGGGTGTCTGAGTTCCTCTTGGGTGAAGTGGACGGCAACAACTTCCTGTCAGTGCCGGTGGGGGACCCTGGCCAGGTGAGCAGGGCTGGCCTGCATGGGCGAGGGGGCGGGAGGGTGAGGCGCCCCTCTGGCCCCTGTCCCTCTGCCCGGGGAGGGGCGGGCTGCGTCTGTGGCGTCAGGCAGGGCCCGGCCCTGGGCCGGACTCACCTGTCTTCCTTCTGTGCAGTCCCTGGAGAACCTGGACGGACCGCGGGGAGAGGGGGCCCAGGCCCAGGCCGGCGCCGAGGACGGTGACGGTGACGAGGGTGAGCCGCCCACCTGGGCGCCGGGCGGAGGGGCCGCGGCGGCGTGGGGGGCTGGGCTGGGAGGCTGACGGCGCCCCCCGCAGGCTGCCTGCCCTCCGAGGAGGTGGACATGCTGCTGCAGCGCTGCGAGGGCGGCGTGGGTGCGGCGCTGCAGTACGCCAAGGACATGGCCAAGTACATGAAGGACCTCATCGGCTACCTGGAGAAGCGCACCATGCTGGGTGAGCGCTGTGCCCAGGGGCGGCGCCCCCCGCCCCCCCGCCCCCGCCTTACACGTGTCCCCCCCGCAGAGATGGACTTCGCCAAAGGTGTGCAGAAGATCGCCCAAAGCTGCCGACAGAGCTTCATGCAGGAGGTAGGGCCCAGGCGCGGGCAGGGCCCCAGGCCCGCGTGTGGGCCTCCCGTCTATGCTGGTGACGGCCGCCGGGGTGGGGAGGGGAGCGGGGTGCCCTGGGGGTTCAAAGTGACGGGTCCCCTCCTCCCACTGCCCCCACAGCGCCACATGCCCCTCCTGTCCCTCTACTCACTGGCCCTGGAGCAGGACCTGGATTTTGGCCACAGCTTGGTGCAAGCCGTGAGCATACTGCAGACCCAGACCTTCATACAGGTGGGCAGCGCCCTGGGCGGCCGGTGGGCGTGTCAGGGCCCCCACTCACAGCGCTTCTCCCCAGCCTCTGAACCTGCGGCGACTGGAGCACGAGAAGCGCAGGAAGGAGATCAAGGAGTCGTGGCACCGGGCCCAGAGGAAGCTGGTACTGTGGGGCGGGCGGCCTCGAGGGTGCGCTAGCCCCGCGCCCCAACCTCGCGGGGGCCAGGCCTCCCGGTGCTCCCCGGCCAGGTCATCAGGGCCGCAGCACTAGTGGCTGCGAAGAGCAGATTGGGGCGGGGAGACGGAGCCTGTCGCAGCTCCCGCTGGCCTCCGTGTGGGTGTTTCCTCGTGCGTCTCCTCGAGGTTGTTTCGGGCACGCGTCTCTTATTTGCGCTGTAACTGGGTCCGGAGTCTTTGGCGAGGAGCCCCGTCCCCCCCGCGCGCCCCCCGGTGTCCCTGCACGTCCTCGCAGCCGCCCGCGCTCCTGCTCGTCCTCGCCGGCCGTGCCCAGGGCCTCGTCAGACCCCCTCGGCCCTGGGACGTGGCACTGCTGGCCCCGCGGCCGCTTGACGAAATCCCTGTCGGCGGACCTTTGTGGTGCTGAGCTGGTGTCGCAGGCGGCGCGCCCGTCGGGCTCGGCAATAACCCGCGCAGCGCCCGAAACGGAACTGTGGTTCTGGGCGTGAGCGTGCCGACTGCCTGGCGCCACAGCCACGGGTTCCCTCTTGTGTGGACTCCGGGTCCATGTCCTTTTCTCACTTTGGGGTAGGTCGTGGTCTGCTTCTGACTGATTCGCCAGCGCTCTTTACATATTAGAGAACCAATCTTTGGCTTCCCGTCTCTCCATTTGTTGTCTCCATTTGTATTTTACCTGTGGTATATATATATATTTTAATTTTTAATTATTTGTGCACACAAGAGGCATGGGGGGTGAGTAGGGAGCAGAACAGGCAGGCAGACTGAAACCCACTGCTGAGGGGAGCAGCGGGGAGACGGGAGGAGTCTGCTGCGCCCTGGGGTCCCTCCCTGGCCGGGGTCGAACTGGGGTGCAGAGGCCGCGGCCGGCGGCATGGTGCATTTCACGTCGCTCACTGAGAGGCCTGGTTTCTGCTGGGTAAGCTCACTGGTTCCTTCATGCTCACGCCTCTGGCGGAGCAGCTGTGAGGCGCCGGAAGCCCACTGGGTCTTGACGTAAGCACTCTCATTGCCACCCCTGAGGGTGCCCGACTTCCTGCCTGGTGGCCTTGTTGTTCTCATCTGAAGGAAGGGAAATGAAAGAAAGCCACAAGTCCCGTGACTTGTCAGAGCTTAGCTGGGCCTCAGTTCGCTGCTACATGGGCACAGCAGGCCCCTTTGTGGCCCCTCTGTCACCCCGACTCCTCCACGGCCGGCTCTGGGGCAGAGCCTCTGCTCACCCAGCTGGAACAGGGGGTCTTGCGGCGAGAGAGGTGGGTGGCAGAGTGGCAGGAAGGGGGAGAGGAGTTCGGGGGGGACAGGCTTGGAAGTGGCCGCCGTCCCCCCCTGCCCCCGCAGCAAGAGGCTGAGTCCAACCTGCGCAAGGCCAAGCAGAGCTACAACCAGCGCTCCGAGGACCACGACAAGGCCCGCCTCCTGGTGGCCAGGGCCGAGGAGGAGCAGTCCGGCGCGGCGCCTGGGGCGGGGGGGTCTGCCCTCAAGACCCTGGAGAAGCGGCGGCGCCTGGAGGAGGAGGCCAAGAACAAGGTGAGGGTAGCGGCCGCGCCTGGCGCACTGTGGGAAGCCGCGGGGGCTCTGTGCCAGCCGCGTCACGCCGGGGTGCTCGGGGCCTGCCTGCGGGCCCCGCCCGGGTCCGGCCTGGGACCGGAGGGCTGAGCCGGGGCTGAGCCCTCGCCTCCCGCTCGCCGCACCCAGGCGGAGGAGGCCATGGCCACGTACCGCACCTGCATCGCGGATGCCAAGACACAGAAGCAGGAGTTGGAGGACACCAAGGTGACAGTGCTGCGGCAGACCCAAGAGGTCATCCGGCAGAGCGACCAGACCATCAAGTCGGTGCGTGCGGCAGGGCGCCCCGCCCACCCGCGGGCGGCGGGCGGCGGGCAGCGTGGTGCCGCCCCTCACCCGGCGCCCGCCCGCAGGTCACCATCTCCTACTACCAGATGATGCACATGCAGACGGCGCAGCTGCCCGTGCACTTCCAGATGCTGTGCGAGAGCAGCAAGCTGTACGACCCGGGCCAGCAGTACGCCTCCCACGTGCGCCAGCTGCAGCGCGGCGAGGAGCCCGACGTGCACTACGACTTTGAGCCCCACGTCTCGGCCGTCGCGTGGTACAGAGTGGGCCAGGCGCGGAGTCCGGCCCCCCTGCGGGGCGGCCCGACGAGGCCCCCGTGACCCCCATCGCCACTTCTCTTCCCGGCTGTGTGTCCCCCTAGGTCTCCGGTCACGCGTGGCCGCAAAGGCAGCTTCAGCGGAGGTGACGGTGTGGGGTCAGAGGCCACCAGCAGCCCCCCAGAGGAAGGGGCACTTGCCAAGGAGCACAAGGGTGAGTGTGGGCAGGACCCGCGGCAGGTCCCCCGCCCCCCGCAGCCCTCGGTCACCAGCAGGCTCCCTTCCTCAGGTGGGCGCACACACAGGGTGAACAAGTCGTGGCCAGTCCCCACGTCAGAGTCTGCAGGCAGCCTGGACCCTGCCTCTGGCTCAGGTGGGGGGGCTTCCCTGGGCTGCCCTTCCCTTTGAGGGGCGTCGGGGCCTCGTGGGCGCCGGGGGTGTGCCCTGGGGGAGCCCCTGGCGGACCCTGAGCTGGCCCCTCCTGGCTCAGGGGTCTGACCTGCTTGTTCCCGCCAGGGGACTTTAAGCAGCTAGAGCGGACCTCATCCAGCGGCACCATGTCCTCCAGCGAGGAGCTCGCCGGCAGCCAGGACAGCGGTGCAGCGGCACCGGCCTTCGAGCCAGGTGAGGGCCCGCCGAGCTGGGTGGTGTGGGGGAGACCAGGGCTTCTGCCCCGTGGGCCTGGCCCTGGCTGCGCGGCTGACTGCCTGTCGGCCTGCTCTGCAGCTGACCTCAATGGCATGGCTCCCGAGCTGCCAGTGGCCGTGCACAGCGGGCCCTTCCAGCACGTGGCGCTGTCCAAGGCGGCCCGCACCCACCGGCTGCGCAAGCTCCGCACCCCTGCCAAGTGCCGGGAATGCAACAGCTACGTGTACTTCCAGGGTGCCGAGTGCGAGGAGGTGAGCGGGCGAGCGGCTGGGAGCCAGCGGGAGCGGGCGGCCGAGGGGTGCGCGGGGTGCGCATGTGGTTTAGGTGTGACATCACACTGGGCTGGGGTGGGAAGGATGGCTCACTCCGCACCGTCCCCAGTGCTGCCTGGCTTGCCACAAGAAGTGTCTGGAGACACTGGCCATCCAGTGTGGACACAAGAAGCTACAGGGACGCCTGCAGCTCTTTGGCCAGGACTTCAGCCAGGCGGCGCGTGACAGCCCGGACCTCATACCCTTCGTGATCAAGAAGTGCATCTCCGAGATCGAGCGGCGCGCTCTGCGCACTAAGGTGACCCCCACGGGGACAGCGGTGGGGGTTCGGCGGTGGGTGGGGCCTGGAAGGGGAGGTAGGCTCGGACCTGAATGACCGGCCCCCCAGGGTATTTACCGGGTGAACGGGGTGAAGACGCGCGTAGAGAAGCTGTGCCAGACTTTCGAAAACGCCAAGGAGCTGGTGGAGCTGAGCCAGGCCTCACCCCACGACGTCAGCAACGTCCTCAAACTCTACCTGCGCCAGGTGAGAGGGGCGGAGGCCAGGTGAGCGGGGTGGAATCCAGGTAGGTGAACC